ATCCTATCCCATCCTATCCTATCCCATCCTATCCATCCCGTTCTATCTCATCCCATCCTATCCTGTCCCATCCCATCCTATCCTGTCCCATCCCATCCTATCCTGTCCCATCTCATCCAGCCCATTCTATCCCATTCCTGACCCATCTCATCCAACCCATTCTATCCCATTCCTGTCCCATCCCATCCCATCCCATCCCCTTCCTTTCTCAGGGCTCCACTGCTCCTGGCAATGATGTCCAAATAACTCGGACTCAAAGTTTGGAGCAGCCCCACTCTCCAACCCAGTGGTTTGTGGGGATGCTCCTGCTCCAGAAGGACAGGGAATTTTTGTCCTAGATCCTGCTCTGGCAAAAGCCTCCCCATAGCAGGGCACCAAGCTCAAGTGTACTTGGGCCTGGGAAGAGAGGTACCTAGCAGGGGGAAAATTTGAGGTGAGGAATAAGCTCAGCTTGTGTCCCTGGGAGGGAAATCTGGGATCAGTCAGCACAGCCGGGAGCTCTGGAGGGGTCACTCCTACCTGGAAGCAGTTCTTGAATTTCCTGCTGACAAAGTAGAGAGCCACGGGGTTGATGCAGGAGTTGAGGGAGGCCATGTTGATCCCAAAATAATCCATCACCAGGAGGAAGCTGAGGGGAGAGAAGAGCGCTGGAAGCTCGTGGAGAACTGAGATTCCAAACCGCCCGGCCTGGGATCGTGTCCCCACGGAGGGTCAGGGACTGAGAACGGAGAGCTGAGCCCAAAACAGTCCTTTCCAAAGAAAAACCACTTTTTCTCGCAAGGAGCATTTCCTGAGGAAGCCAAAAGCACGAGCTCTGCTTTCCCCTGGTGACACCCTGGTGACAGCCTGGTGACACCATGTCCCCAAACTCCAGCACAGCAGCATCTGGCCCAAACTGGTGCTTGGCTTGTGGGGGAAAGGAGAAGAAAGGTGGGCACAACCCTGCTGGGAATGTTTCCCTGCCCTGGAGACTCCCTTAACCCACAGACTGATAGAGATATTTCAAAATTTAACTCAACCCCTCTCTGTGCCCACCCAAGGGCGGCGATGCCGTCTGGAAAAGGGGCCGTTGGACCCGGGGTTTGGGAGGCAGCTCCACCAGCCTGTGCCGGTGTCACCGGGGCTGCCAGCTGGGTGCCCACCTGCTGGGGCTCCTACCTGAGCAGTTCACATCTGTTGGGGTCTGTCTGGTCGTAGATGGTCTTCTTGAGGATGCGGCTGAGGTGGAGGGGCAGCCAGCAGAGTGCGAAGATCACCACCAGGCAGAACACGGTCTTGGCCACCTCCCGGCGCTGCCAAGACAAGGGGGTGGGGGGAAAGAGGGTGATCACTGGGGAGCAGGTGGAGCCAAGCAGGTCCCAAATCACGGAATCATGGAATACTTAGGGTCGGACGGAACTTCAAAGATCATCCAGTTCCAACCCCCCTGCCATGGGCAGGGACACCTCGCACTGGACCGGGGTCGCTCCTGAAGTCCTGCACCACGAGATCCAGGCTGCAGAAGTGGGCAGGGCACCAGCAGCTCGGTGTGGACTAGACCCCTTCACGCCCCTTCCCACTGTCAATCCCGGTGGTTCTGCTGTGGTGACGTTCCCAGGGACACAGGGATCTCCTCCAGCCTCCCCTCACACGGTGCTATCGCGACAACCAGCTGGGCTCCCCCAGGGAATCGTTCCCAAAGGGAACAGTGAACTCTCCTTTTCCCTGCACATCTTGTCTGGGGTTTGGCACGTCCAGCATTTGGTCCAGTCTGGTGTGGGCTCAGCACGGCCAGAGATAAAGGACCACAAGGAACTGAGAATGAAGCTGGTCCGTGGCCAGGGGGTGGTTGGGGTTGTCCCTGAGGCTGGAGATCACAGAGCTTAAGGCCCTTCTCCCTTAATCCTTGCACTAATCCAAGATCTACTGGGAGGCTTTGTCAGCTCCTGCCTGTCCCTCGCAGTCCCCCCTCCGACAGCTCTCCCTCCTCTTTGGGAAGCAGCAGAATTCCCGCATTCCCGGGTCCCTTACCCGTTTCATGTGGTCATTCAGGGCGATTCTCATGCCGTTCCTCTTGCTCAGCATCTCACAGGACATGAGGGTGTAGAAGATGCCAGTGCACACCAAGGGCAGGCAGAAATAGAAGCCGAAAAGCCACCAGTCCTTCACGTCCCGGTAGAACTGTGTGGGAAAGGGAGAGCCACTGGAAACTGGGGAATGGGAAGGATGGGGAACCGGGGCACGGACTGGCCCTGACACCCACTCTGCCTGTCCAGGCACTTGAGACGTGTGGAAGTGTCCCAGCTCCTGCCCTAAGCACGTGGGGGATTGTCTGCCCCTAAGGCTGGTGCACGGGCTGGGCCTAAGGGCGTAAAGACCGGTTTATATGGAATTACAGAATCGCTGGATCGTGGAATCACTAAGGTTGGAAAAGACCTCCAAGACCATCAAGTCCCACTTTTCCCTGAATACCAACACGTCCACTTGGAGGAGCTTGTTTGTTGGGCATGGTGGGTTGAGTAAGGGTCGTCCTTCCCTTGCTCACCCGACCCTGTGCAAACTGGTTGTGGGGACCCTCTTTGGCCCGCTGGGACAGCGTTGGAGGCCCTGAAGCTTCCTGAGATGTGACAGGACACGCTGTGGGTGGTGAAGCAGATACAGCTCCCTGTTCTCTGGCCCCACATCACTGCAATGCCTGTGCTTTGCCTGGCACTGCTCTCCCTGCTTCCCCCGAGGCCAGGAGCCACCTCCAGAGGCATCTGCTCCTCTAATCAAGGAGCTGACACTCTTCTAACGGAGTGGTTAATTGTACTGTGCATTCTCATGGTTTCACCCCTCAGAGGTGGCTGGGGAACCATCAGCTCCTTGGATTGCATCATGAACTGGGGGAATTATTGCCCCTGACTCCTGTTTGATAAAACTAAAAGCTTCTTCCTGGCCCTTCCTGGCTGAGAGGATGTGTTTTGGCTTGAAAGAAGGAGCTTTGGGTTCTTCCTGCTGGCATCTGTGGCTCTCGGTCAGACTGTCCCCAGGGGTATTCGGTCAGTTTTCCATCGTTGCAGAGGTGAGACAGGTTTGCAACTCTTGTTCTGGCACCAGGATTCTACTGCCTCTTGCCTCAGAGAACCTGAGATACCTGTCAGAGCTCTCCCTGGTGGTCTGCGTGAGCACGTACCATCATGAAGCGGGATTTCTGCTCCGAGGCCAACATGCACACCCACAGGTGCTGCTCCCAGTAGCTGAGCTCCACCATGTCGAAGGCGATGGCCTCGGGCACTGCCAGCACGATGGCCACTGCCCAGATCAGCACCACCTCCACCGCCTTCCACATGGGGATCCCTATCCCCTGGATCCGGCTCCAGGACGCCACGGCTCGGTACCTGCCCGGGGTTGGAGTGAGACAAGTGGCTGTCAGGAAGGGGGTGGGAAGGGGCAGGTTGGGGTTGTCCCCAAAGGCCCTTCCCCTCACACCTTCCTCCCCCACCCCCGAGCCTTCTTTAGTGGAATGGGAAGCAGGGGCTCAAAGGGGACTGTCCTTGACCAATGTCCACTTGTCACCCTTCCTCACCACCACACCTGTTGTTCCAGCACGTTCTTCCCTAACCTCTTCCAGCAGGATACAACTCAGTTCCTGCTGGATTTCAACCCCACGTGACAGCAGCCTGTCCCCATCTTGGAATTGTGCTGGCACCAAGGCTTTTGGTGACGGTGAAGGGACACAGACATGGGCCAGGCTGGGCAGGGCAGGTGTGGAGGAGGTTTCCTACCTGTCAATGCTGAGGGCACAAAGGCTCAGGACCGTGATGCCCACGGAGGCTTTCTGGATGAAGGGAACCAGCTTGCACACCTGCACTCCAAAGGGCCAGTCCTTTGCCAAGAGCTGGGGAAGAACCACAGGTTATCAGGCTGCTTTGGGAACGCTGGTCCAGCTTCCCAAAACAGCAGGTGGGTGCCCACAGGGTGTGAGAAGCCCACAGGGTGTGAGAAGCCCACAGGGTGTGAGAAGCCCACAGAGAGCAGCACTCTGAGGTTCAGAGCTGTGTGAGGGTCCTGGGAACCTTTGGTTTCCCTGAGGACTCCCAGTGAGATGAGTGGACACATGGATGAAGGATGGTCCAGACACTAAGTCCTGACTCAGGTCCCTGCGTGGCTGTGAGTGGATTTGAGTCCTAAACACCACAACGGGCTCCTTGGGGTTGTTTCCAAAGGGGAAAATGGGTGTTGTGCTTTGAAACAGCCCAAATTCAGCTCAGACAGCTTAAGCCGCGTGTCCTGAGCCTTCCCTATGCTCTGATCCTCAACCACACTCACATTCCTGACAGAACCCATGCACTGTGACCACGTGCTCAGCTGGGACAAGCAGAGGGGACCAGTGGGGACAAGGTGCCCTGGAGGCAGGAGAAATCTGGGCCACTCACCCATGAGGGTGAGAATGAGCCTGAATTCACAACCCTTATATCCCATGACACCCGGAGCCCATCCTGAGGTCACCCCCACTCAGAGCCAACCCCCTCTTCAAGCTCTGTCATTTGGCCTCAGCAGCAAAACAAACCATGGAATCACAGGATGTTTTCAGAGGGACCTCAAAGCCCATCCAGTGCCAGGGACACTTTCCACTAGCCCGGGTTGCTCCAAGCCCCGTCCAACCTGGCCTTGGACACTTCCAGGGGTGGGGCAGGCACAGCTTCTCCCAGAGATCCTGCCCAGAGCATTCCCAGCCCGGCCCTGCCCCCAGCCCACCTTGTAGACGTTGATGGGCAGCGCGATGAGGATGTAGAGCAGGTCCCCCAGGGCCAGGCTGGCGATGAGCACGTTGGGCCCGTTCCTCATGCACTTGTTCTTGTAGATGATCCTCAGGAGGGTGGAGTTGCCGATGATGCCCACGACGAAGATGGTGCAGGACACGATGGTGTTGATGTACTTGAAGACGTGCCGGATGTCCGCGGGCTTCACGCACACGGGCAGCAGCGGCGGCTCCGAGCTGCTGCTCCCGGGGAGGCTCCCTGAGAGGTTGGATGCCTGGGTGTCCTGGAAGAGGCTGGGCTGCACCAGGCTGTAGGCCTGCTCCTGGCTGAGCACCTCCGAGGGCACGGCGCTCTCCTGGAGAGCCCGGGGGGTCTGGCTGTGAGTGCCGGAGAAGAGCAACGTCAGGAAAACGGCCAGAGCAGCAGGAGCTGGGGTGGTGGCTGTGGAGCACCAAAGAGTGGAGCTGCTGCTGGCAGGAGTCCTCATAGTGCTCGTGGGATGGTCTTGGTTGGATCTGCAGGTGGAGGAAAGGACCAGGGAGAGAACTTTGTTGGTGGAGGAAGGAGAAAGGTGGTTCAGCGAAAGGGAACTTGGTTTGTTCAGCTGGAGAAGAGGAGACTGAGGGAGACCACTGGGGTCTGCAGCTCTCCCTGAGGGGCAGCTCTAACCTCTGCTCTGTGAACAGGGACAGCACCCAGGGAATGGCTGGAGCTGTGTCAGGGCAGGGTCAGGTTGGATCTCAGCAAAAGGTTCTTCCCCCAGAGGGTGGTTGGCACTGCCCAGGCTCCCCAGGGCAGTGGGCACAGCCCCAAGGCTGCCAGAGCTCCAGGAGGGTTTGGACAATGCTCTGAGGGACAGGGTGGGATTGTTTGGGTGTCTGTGCAGGGTCAGGGGTTGGGCTGGATGGTCCTGGTGGGTCCCTGCAAACTCAGAATAGAGTATAGAATACAAAAGGATAGGACACAAGAGGATAGAATTTTATTATTCTATCCTCTTGTATTCTATGAATTGCTGGAGAAATCCACCATCACAGAGGACAGAAAAGATGCCAGATGGGATCCCACCAGGTCAGAGCAGCTGCCCCTGAGGGTGGGAGGTTGTGCTGCTAAAATTAAACAGGTCAGTCCAGGAAAACAAGCTGAAAGGAGAACAAACAGCCCCTTGTGTCTCTGACGTGGCATTTTGGTGACTGAGGGTCCTTCCTTGGCTCAATGGGTATGTGGGATCAGCAACTGCACCTCTGGCACTTGGCATTGCTACTCACATGGCCAAGCCCAATTTCCTTCAATGTCCACCCCACTCCTTTATAATCATGGAATTACTGAGGTTGGAAAAGCTCTCCCAGATCATCAAGTCCAACCTTCCCCCTCCTGTCAGGGAGTTGCAAAGTTTAGGTTTTGGGTAGTTTAGTTCCCAACTGAAGTTGCAGGTTTGGGACCTCTGTGGACACCTTCATACCTGGGCAGTTCTGCAGTCCCATCTCAGGGTCCACAGAACCAGCAGAACTTTTCCAGTTCATTCCGTGGGGAAACTGGAGCTGCACCAACCCCTCCGTGCCCAGCAGATCCCACGGGCTGTCCTGTGCCCAGGGAAAAGACCCAGCACAGTCCTGCTGGGAAAACACCACGGGGTTTTTTTCCAGAAATGCCATTTTGAGCCCTGACATCCCATTCCAATTTATGTGCAGCAGCCCAGCCCCTCCTTCCCCATCCTCACCTCCCTAAATTCAACTCCTTCCTCTCGAAACCCACCATGCCTGTCTAGCTCCATCCTCAGGGATATAAAGCTCCCTGTGCCCTCACAATCCTGGTCTCTCAAGTCAGTAAAAGGTCTCTCAAGCCTCCAAGGCTGGAGAACTAATAAATAACCCTGGAATGGTTCAGCTTTGTGCATCTCTGATGGCACTTTCAGGCAGGACAAGCCAAGCTGCTGTTCCACAACCACAAAGCTCAGGGTGGTGGTGGCACCGTCCTGGAGCGATGTGAGTTTGAGGAAGGGGCTTCTGGATGATCCAGATCTGGAATTGAGCCCAGAGAGGGAATGGGAGAGGGCAGCAAAGTGCCAGTCTGTGCCCCAGACAGGGACAGATCTGGGGGCTCCTGGCTGGAGGGTTGAGGAACATGTTTGAGGAATTGTGAAACTTTCCAGCTCTGGAAACTTTCCAACCCTCTCGGAAGGGAGGAAAAATTGCTGTGCCTGGACTAAGAACAGGAGCGTTTGGGGATTCCCTGGGATCAGGGAGCCTGCCTGTGATTAGAGATGGGACTCAGGCTCTGCTCTGACTCCTCCAGGCAGAGTTGGGATCTCAGCCCAAACCCTGGGATCTGCTCCCCAAGACTCTCCAGCTGAGGCACTCCAGGGTTGTCCAGGACCCTGGGGATCCCAGGACAAACAAATGAAGTGTGGTGGGAACACTGCTCCCACTCTGGGAAGACATGGCCAGGCCAAGCAAGGGTCCCCCCAGGTACAACCACAGCTCCTGCAGACACTCCTGTGCACCCCCCCTGTCAGGGGCTCAGGCTTTGTGGGAATGCCTGGGCACCCAGTTGTGTTGGGAAAGGGGGAAAGAAAGGGAGAGAATGGATAAATAACCCAAAGGAGCACAAACCTGGGCACAAACCCCTGCTCTGACCTGTCCCAGGGACTTCAGCCTGAACCTTCTGAAGTTCTCAGCCCCCTGCCCTGCCCCAGCTCCCCCAGGGACAGGTGTCCCACGGAGGGGGGTCCTGACCTCTCCACCCCACTATTCCCACAGGATTGCAGCTCACAGGAGAGGGCAGACCCAGCTCAGAATTCCTGCCAGAGATCCCTGAGGGTTTGGGCAGCAGCTTTGGATGGCACGGACAAGCATCTGGAGGAAGCTGGTGGCTCCTGGAGCCAGCACTGGCACCAGAGAATCCCTGGAAGTCGTTCCCTCTGCCCCCCACAGATGCTTTTATCTGCCCACCCCAAGCCCAGAGCCTGGTGTGGCTGCTCAGCCCCGGGGGCTGAGAAGAGCTCATGTGAGTGAGGATCACAGGACTCGGCTCTCTGGGTCCTGCCCAGCTGCAAAACACCGGAGAAAAAAAGCACTTTCCTGCCATCTTGCCTTAAAATCAGTCAAATCTTTCACTAAATCCAAATTTTAGTCAAAAGACAAGCATTGTTTCCTCCTGTCCAACAGCCCGTTTACTCCTTGCCCTCCACGCTGCCTCAACCCCTTTTCTTGAAAGCACAACCCCTTCTCAGTTTTTGGGGGAAATGAGGCACAGGAGCATTAAGAAACTTGTTCAGCATCTGGCAGATGTCAAACCAAATCCAGCACTGCTTGACCCAAAATCCTCTGAGCTTTGCTCGTGTTGCTGATCATCTGGGAAGGTGACTCGGTGCCCAGAGGGACCACCCCCATCCCACCTGCCTGGCCAAGGTGCTTCCCTTAGGGAATTGCTGCAATCCCTTTGCTTGGGAAACTTCACTCTGTGCTGAGCCCAAACCACAGCTGGACCCACTGGAATCTTGACATGGGCATCAGGGACTGATTCCCAGAGGGAAAACGAGACTGAAAACCGTCACCATAACCCTGCAAAACCCAGTGCTGCCTGAAAGGTGCCTTGTGTGGGCTGGGGGGCTTGGGAGCTAGGAATTCCATGGGAGCCAGGAATGCTGCTGCATCCTCATCTCCAGCCAGTCCCCCTACCTTCAGGAGCAGCTCCTGACAGCTCGGCAGTCCCATCTCGGGGTCCACGGGACGAGTAGAACTTTTCCAGTTCATTCCATGGGGAAACTGGAGCTGCACCAACACCCCCGTCCCCAGCAGACCCCAAGGACTCTCCTGTGCCCAGGGAAAAGACCCAGCACAGTCCTGCTGGGAAAACACCACGGGGGCCAGACTCACCACCCCAAACACCAAACAGACTTTTCCTGTGGATAAATCTCTCTTGTAGCAGCATTTCCACGTGCGGGGGGAAAGGCAGGAGAGAGGCGAGTGGTAATTCCCCATTCCCGGCTGCTCCCTGCCCTGAACCCGACCTGGGCCATGGACAGGAGGAGTTTTTCCCAGAGCTGTGCTGGATTTCTCCTCGCTCACCCTCTCCCTGCCCAGCTCCTGGACCTTGTCCAGGCACCGTGGTCCGTTCGACGCCTCCCCCGGAGGGGGTTGCTCAGGGAGGGGGACCTGAAAAACGCGCAAAAACTCCCCCCGAAGCGAGAAATCCCTTTTGTTGGCAAAGCAGAGCACGGGACAGCAAAGCCTCGCGGGGGAATTCAATTACCTTATTGCGGGACGGCGGGTTTTGGGTGCTCCCGGGAGCGGATCCTGCCCCTCTCACGGCTCCTTCCCCCTGCGCGGGGCTCTGGGCATGTCCTGGGAGCAGCGCAGCTGCTTTAGATCCTGCAGCTGGTTTTTTTTGGTGCTCAGGGGATGTTTGTCCCCTCCCGTGACTCGCCGAGTCTCCCCGCGCTGGGTGGTTTTATAGAAACCCGCGGGGCTCCCCCGAGCGCAGCCCCTGCGACCAATGGGTGAAGGGTGGGATGGGAAGAGAGGAGGGAAAAGCGGGAGAAACGCTCCGGGAAGGAGCGAAAACAACAAACAAATAAAGCTGGAGCGGGAGGGTGAGAGCTGGGGGAGGCAGGGCTGGGCTTGAGGGAAGGGACCTGCAGCCCCCCCCCCGAGCTTTTCGGGGGAAAAAAAAGGCATCAAAGCCTCTCTTCCCAGGGTGTGGAAAACCAGGTGCCGCACGTGGAGCTCTCGAGGGAAGGTTCAAGAGCGAGGAGTGTGCCAGGAGCAAGGCAGGGAGACCTGAGGGGCCCTTCCAGCAGAGAGGATGGAGCAGAAAAGTCTTTGCTAAAGTGCTGGGGAAGGACAAGCCTCCCTGAGCCTGGTCTGGGGGAAACAGGTCCAGGTGAAGCAGGTCCAGGTGAAGCAGGTCCAGGTGAAGCAGGCTGGGAACAGGTTTCCATGCTCCCATCCACAAGAGGTTGCCCCAGTGTCTTTTGCCACCCCAGCTCTGGTTTTGTTCTCCTGTGGTTTCTGAGCATCCTGAGCTGCCTGAAGAGCAGGGTCAGGTTGCTCAAGGGTCAGGGTGGGACACTCCAGGGCCATGGGGTCACACCAGCCCCCCATGAGCCCCGTGTCCAGTCCAGCCTCTGATCCCGACCCAAAGAGCCTCCCCCTGCTCTCCACCTGCCTGGGAACAGGAGATCACAAGCAAAGCTTCCAGAAGGTTCCTGCTGCCTTTCTCCAAACCACAGGAACCTGTAGGGAATTTGTCCAACCCTGTGGATCAAACCTCTCCTCATCTGCTGGGAGAGGGAAGTTTCATTCCCTGCCTGGATGTGGCCCTGGCCCAGGAACGGGGTTTTTTTATGGGGGGGGGCAGCAAAAAAGGTCAAATCCCAGGGCCATGGATGGCAAAATGACCCTCTGGAAACATCGTCTCCTTCCACCTGAGATGCCTTCACTCTGGGAAGGAGTCTGAATCTCTCCTTTCTGCCCTTATTTTGGGGCAAAAAGGGCAAAGATTTGCTCCATCCCTTGGAAGTGTCCAAGGCCAGGTTGGATGGGGCTTGGAGCAACCTGGGCTAGTGGAAGGTGTCCCTGCCCATGGTGAGGAGGGGAATGAGATGAGCTTTAAGGTCCCTTCCAACCCAAACCATCCCATATTTCTCTGATTCTCTGACCTTTGCTACTTCTGGAACAACAACTGCAGAAGTCCATGATAAAACACTGGGATATTTATACTTACAACCCTTTTTCTGTGCTGATCCAGACACAGGGATGGATTAAATGCCCTCTCACCTCAAGATCTGGCCAAAAATACCAATGAGAATTGGGCCAGCCTGGCTTTTCTCAGTGCTCAGGGTTTGTAAACAGGGTAGAGATAATTTATATCGGTTGTTTGGGAACTTTCTTCCTTCTTTGTGTGCAAGTAAATGATCTGTGTCTCTCCACCAAATCATTTCCATGACTCCTTGAAGGTTTGATGAATTAGAGCTGTGGATAACCCAGGGAAAATTAGGTCTTTATTTACCCATCCCCTCATTGGTCGGAGCCAACTCTCGGCTCAGAAGAGCAGAGAACAAAACCTCCTTCAGGCTCTTGTCCCTTCATCCCAAGCTGGAAAGCCCATCTGAGGGATCTGCTGCCCTCCCATCTCTTTGTGGCTTCTCAAGGCTTGGCCAAGCCTGTTCTGTAGCTGGAGATGTGACAGCACAGGGACAGACGTGTCCCCAACACCTCCTTGGTCCCACCAGCTCAGGTGGCAGAAGCAACACAAGGTGCTGAGGGAGCTGCTTTCCTTGTTCTGATTTTAAAGCTGAATATTTTATTTGGGACTAGGATTAGACTTGGATACTTTTCTTTCTTTTCTTCAGCTTCACTGTCCCTTGCCCATCTCATCTTGGTGTGAGAGCTCTGAGGAAGGACACACGGGGTAAAGCCAGGTTTAGTGGATAGAGCCCAGCTCTGGCCTTGTCTGGGGGCAGTCAGCTCCAAAAAAACCCCTGTTTTAGTCAGTGCTGCTCACAGACATCTCCACCTTGCAAGCTTGTGTCCCAGAGCTGCCTCTGGCCCTCAGCTGAAGCACTTCTGCATCTTGGTGGGTGCCTGTGCCACTGAGGCTGGACTTTTAGTCTGGGTCAGCAAAGTTCATTGCCACTGGGGGCTTTGAAGGGCACCAGGAGGTGCCCTCTGCTCACCCCCACCCCCAGCAGGGCAGCAAAGAGCCCCCTCAAACAGCTCAGCCCCCAGGGCAGAGGCCATGGGCATGTCCATCCCCTCCTGTAACCCTTTGGCCTCTGAGGGGGGGCAGTGGTGCAGCTTTTCCTTGGTTCTCTTTCCAAACCAGAGGAGTCCAGGGCAGCCCTGACCCCGTGGGGAGGGGTCCCAGAGCCCTATTCTGGGACAGTCACATCTCTGCACGTGCCAGGGGCATGAATGGCCCTCTGTGTTCTGCTGGGGACAAAGGAGGGCTCCAGCCCCCTCGGAGACCCCCAGGACAACACTGACCTTGCCCAGCCAGAGTGTCCTTGGCACACATTTGGACTCAAGGCTGATGTTGAGTCACTCAAATTATGGGAAGGGAGAAGCTGCTTCTGAAATAAGTCACAGTCCAATCCAGCAGCAGCCAAGCAACAGCTCTATGGGATCCCTTTTGTCCTTCCATTTTAGAGAGGACGTGTCAAATACAAGGAATTTGGCTTTCTGCTGAACATAGGAGGTGACCTGGCCAGGCTGGATGGTGCTGGGCAATCCCTGAGGAGCCACAGCTCAGGAAAACACCAGCTCCTCACTGACAGGAGTGAGAGGGCCACTGATATATTGGGTTTCTCTGGATGGATTTGCTGCCTGGAGCTCAGATTTGGGTTGGAAATCAGGCATCCTCTCAAATCCTGGGGAAAGCACTGGGTGAAATCCTCCCAGTGACCATCATCCATCCCTCAGTACCTCCTGCTGAGGCTTCAGTCCTGCCTGGAGAGCAAACAGACAGATCTGTGTTGAAATGAACCCCCACAGCACTGTCACCCCAAGGGAGAGCAGGTGGCTTTTGCTTTTAGCTTTGGGAAGGATGAGCTCCCAAAATTTGCCTCTGCAGCTGAAATTCCGTGGCTTCACTTTGTTTTCTATGCAGGAAGTGTGGAAAAATCACATCTTCCCACTGAGTGCAGCTGTCTGAGAACCTGATTCAGCTCCTGGATTTGTCCAGTGCTCATCCTCTCACATCCTTTTGTTCCTCTCAGCATGGAGAGGTTGTGAGCTGCCCATCCCTGGAATTGTTCAAGGCCGGGTTGGACGGGGCTTGGAGCAACCTGGGATAGTGGAAGGTGTCCCTGCCCATGGCATGGGGGTTGCATGAGATGAGCTTTGAGTTCCCTTCCCAACCCAAACCATTCCATGGGGCTGTTTGTGCACTCTGGGACTGTCTTTGACCAGTAAGTCTTCGGGTCCAGCATTCCCACTTTGAGCTACTTACAGGAAGGAGTTCTCCAGAGCTCTGAGCTGATGGAATTTGTTCCTGGTCCTCGATCTTCAGCTCTTCTGCTCATTAAAGCTGCAAGCCCAAAGTGAAGTCAAGCCCCATGATTTGTGGCACAGCAAGAACCCTGGAGAGCCCAGCAGCTCCCTGGGGTCTGGAGGGAGGCACAGCTCGGGGTGTCCAGCTGTGGGAACATGTGGATGGCTTTCAAGCCAAAGCCACTGGAACAGCAGCCCTTAAAGGACTGGCAAAGGAAAAGAACTGGGGCTTCTGGGTTGAACCTCCAGATAAAGAAATGTGGAACTGCCCCATGAAGAGCCAGCTGTGCTTAGATGTGTGGTCATGTGAGAGGATTCAGATTGGTCACAGAGCAGAGAAACATCTGGAAGAAGCATTTAGGAGGTTCACCTTCCACCCCCCCACAGGTGGGCACGTGCACCCTCCCTCACCCTGTGGGAGCAGCTGTGTGTCCTGGGATGTGCCCTGAGATGTGTCCTGGGATGTGCCTGGGATGTGTCCTGGGATGTACCTCAAGATGTATCCAGGGATTTGCCCTGAGATGTGCCCTGGGATGTGTCCAGGGATGTGTCCTGGGACTGAGATGTGTCCTGGGATGTGCCCCAAGATGTGTCTTGAGATGTACCTGGGATGTGCCTGAGATGTGTCCAGGGATGTGCCCAGGCTGGGCTGGAGGTGCCTGGAGGACCCCCAGCTCCATTAAGAGCCCATCAGTGTTCATGGCCCTGAGCAGCCTCCCCTGAGACCCCCCCAGCCTTGGAGCCCTGTTCCAGCTCAGGAGCCCTGTTCCAGCTCAGGAGCCCTGTTCCAGCTCAGGAGCAGTCCCAGCCTCCAGAGTTTGGCCACGAGGACGGTGCAGGGTCTGGAGGGGCCGAACGAGGAGCAGCTGAGGGTACTTGGTTTGTTCATCTTGGAGAAGAGGAGACTGAGGGGAGAGACCTCACTGGGGTCCTCAACATCCTCAGGAGGGGCAGCAAAGGGGCAGCTCCAACCTCTGCTCTGTGACCAGGGACAGGACCCAGGGAATGGCTGGAGCTGTGTCAGGGCAGGGTCAGGTTGGATCTCAGGGAAAGGTTCTTCCCCCAGAGGGTGGTTGGCACTGCCCAGGCTCCCCAGGGCAGTGGGCACAGCCCCAAGGCTGCCAGAGCTCCAGGAGGGAGCTCTGAGGGACAGGGAGGATTGTTGGGGTGTCCTGGGCAGGGCCAGGGGTTGGGCTGGATGATCCTCGTGGGTCCCTTCCAACTCAGGAGATTCTGTGATTCCATGAGTTCGTGTTATCCCAAAAGCAGGCAGTGGGCTTGGGAACACGTGCAGCAAAGCAGGGATGTCTGGGAGGAGAGAATATTCATGGAGGCATCACACACAGTGCCTCTCCCCTGGGACCTGAACAGGAAAACTCAGAGCCAGTTCCCTCAGGAATTCAAACAGGTAAAACATTACAGAGAAGAGACTGCTGGGGACCTGCAGG